GTGTGTGTGTGTGTATTTCCTCGTCCCCTCTCTCATTTACCAGCGAAAAAATTACATTCTATTTTATTTCCTGACAATACTTAATTGGTAAAAAAAATCCCAGTAGCAGTAAGGTTGTTTTATATATATATATATATATATATATATATATATATAGATAGATAGATAGATAGATAGATAGATAGATAGATATCAAATCCGTAAGGCATGTAGGTGTCTGTTTTCATGTCTACATTTCATGATTTGTTTTCTTAATCCCATTATATCACTAGCACTACATGGGCAAAGTTCTTGTTAGTGTGTGGGCTGTACTTATCAAGACATTTTCTAATTTCTCTTAAGCTGGAATTTCAAGGAAGTTTTTCGATGTGCTGTTGTGTTCCTTTTTTATCATTCCAATGGCACCTACTATGATTGGTATTGTTCTTGTTTTCGATTTCCGCATGTTTTTCTATTTCGATTTTCAGGTATTATACTTCGATAGGGTTTCAAATTCCTTGGTTTTTATGTTACAGTCCGATGGACAAAAAATAGCAATTGGTTGGCAAGCTTTTTCATTTCGGATTTTGACAATTATGTCCTGCCTATTTGATTCAGTCTTCTGAAGATGGTGTAATCCGATAGATTTGCGATGGCTTCTATTTCTTTAACAGATGCTGGGCGACTTGCATACCAGTGTTTATTAACATCTTTTTCCTCAAATTGTGTAAATTTTGCCCCACTCTATCGTGACGATTTTATATTCATTTGGCGCAAGTATAGAACATCCTAAGATTAGACGGTCCATGGTTTCCTGATATTTGTCAGATAACCTGCATTTGGGATCCAGACTGTTATGATAGTCACTTGAATGTTTCTAATGAAAAGACAATGGACTTACGCTTAAAGAATAAATCTTTTCATTTCAGCCTTTATTACAGATTCCCGTAAGCATCGAAGACTGTTAACTTTATCAACATCGGCTTTATTACCTCATTCTGGATATTGGCTATGCAGACGTTTGTTTTGTAGCGTTGCTTCATCTCTTTAGAAGCTTCATACTTGGCTTTTTCATAATTTTTGATGTAACGGTTGGTTCGTAATTTCTGTTTTGTTTTTCTACAGTCTCTACTAAATGTAAATCTCGCATATTTTCACAGCCTTCTTCCATGATTGAATATTTTTTTCTGTTTTCGTGTTGTTTGACTAATTGTATCATTCAGTCCTTTCTTGTTCTCATGTATGGTACCAAGCCAATAGTTGTTGTCTTGTATGAAAATACCAACTGAATAAGAACTCCTCTACTTTTACGATTATGTATAGACGGTCTACATCGGACTTTAGTTGATGCCTATGCTTAGAAAAGAAGGTTCTTCTTGTCTTAGAATTCATTCGTCTAATTTAGAGTCCGATTCAAGATTTTGGAACTATATTGATCCGCAGGGATGTCCATAATTATGTTCTGAGAAGTCAATGTATTTCTTAATATCAGTCGCGCCCGTCTTTTGTACTCTTTTCTGGCTATTTCTTTCATTTTGGGGCGCATTTCTTTCTCTCCCGTTTACACCGAGTTACTTATAAGCTTTTTCACGCTTTAAATCATTAATTTTTACCACATATCTTAGCTAATATAGGAGGTTGCTGCAGTGATCTTCGTAAGATTGTGTCTTTATTATATTTATTCAAACTGAATCCATTCCAAAGTCATCACTTAAAAATTGTACTGTTTTCAGGAGACCTTCCAGCTCACTGTCATTTCTAGCATAAAGCCTTGCAAAAGAGATGGATTTTTCTTCCGAGTTGTCTTATAACCGTATTCCATCCTGGAAAGTTCACTGGTTAAATCTATTAGGGATAAACAAAATAATATGGGAGACAATGTATGACCTTGAAATATTCTTCTGTTAATGTTTATTTGATCAGGCTTTTAGACTTCACCTATACAATTTAGTTGAACTGTTTTTCCATATAGACATATATTGTTTGATAGAATTGATGACGACAGATGAAGACGTTAATATACAGGAATGGGTTACACTATCAAATGTCTCACTGTAAGCTATCCAGTCAAGTTTATTCTCTATATTGAAGTAATTTTCCAAGATTATTCTATGAATAAGTCATTGGTCTTTACATCCGACGCAGTCACGTTTACATCTTTTTGTTCAAAAGGAAGTATATCCTTTTTTCCCAATAAGGAATATATCCGTTTTGTCAGAATAGATGTCAACAGTTTCTAATTAGTGGTAAGACATGTAATTGGTCTTTAGATTTTTGGGAAATTTGTGTCACGATTCTTGGGTACAAGGAAGATAATTCCTTTGGTTACCCATCTCGGAATTTTAGTGGGATCAGTGACCATTTCTGTAGGTTCTTTTGCTAGTTTTTGTGTGCTTTATTTAGATAACAGAGCCAAAAGTAATGAAATTTGTCTATTCCTGGAGATTTCGAATTGTGTGTTTTTTTTCAGTGATCATTCAACATACTCTTCCGTGATTCTCACTCATTTTTGTCCTGGTTTATTTTTTCATCCGGTCGACCTCTGTAATCCAATCTGCAATTTGTTGTGTTCTTCAGAGCAAGCCCATATTTTTTCCAGAACTGTATAATTTTGGGGCGCGGTGTGCCACCATAATTTTCTGTTTGCCTATTTCTCTGTAATTTTTTTTCGCATCGGTTTAAAAGATCTTGTTCTGTCAGTAGAATCTTGATCTTGTTTCTTAGTTTCTGATTCAATAAGCTTTCAATTGTATTGGTTTCTTGAGCTGACAGGAATCCCTTTTCATTCCAAATTGTATATTTTCTTTTGACTTATCTGCCTTTTCTAGTCCTTCCATTTGTTCATCTTGTCAGTTTATCGACTACTGATAATTAATTTCTTTCCTTATTTTTATTTTCCAGTGTGGATCTTTATGCGCGTGGAGCTGCTATTTTTTTTTTTACTTTGATATTTAATTTTTTAGTTGCTGCTATGGCTGAGGTACATATTGCTTCAGTGAGATATATATGTGGTTCTACTTCATCCAGAATTAATTTGAGTGCTGTATTGTAGAGTTTAATTCTTTTTAGTTTCTGCTTTGTTGGTTGTGATTTTGTAAGTTGTTCTCGTTCATCCATTTCAATATTTTGTGTTTGAGTTATATGTCTCATGATTTATAACTTGGCTTCTTGTACACTATTCTTGCTTTCCGTAAAATAATTCGGTTCAATGAGTTTTGGATTCGTTTTATTGTAGGTCTGTGAGCGAGTGATATAACACCTTTCCAACTCTCGTAAATTCTCAAATTTGTTTTCACAATGATTGTTTTATATCTCAGTTACTTCGTTATGATTTGTGGTTTCTGTGATGTTAGAACATCTTATGTCCGTTTCTGGTTACCTTTCATGTTCTGTATATTTGCTTGCAGATCTTTTTATTTCTTTAAGTTCAGCATCTGCCAATGGGTTATTTCTCATGATGTACTTTCTTACTTTGATTAATTCTCAGCAGTGTATTTTCTAATCGCCTGTCCAACCATTTCTCGCCAAATGCTATATGTTTGGTGAGGGATTCTTTTCTGAGATGTGTGTAACGTTTTATAGTATGCAGTCATAACGAGTTTGAACTCCTCACTAACACCATTTTTAAGGTTTTAGAGGATTTCTTTAAATGAATATTTGTACATACGTGTGCTCAAACGCATGGATCTAGTTTGGAGATGTATATAAAGTGTCATCCCAAACAAACACATAAGAAATTTTATCCCTCAAACACCATAAAAGGTCACCGAATAAATTTGGGGACCGTGAAACCCGTCCTTACATTCTACTAACATTCTTTTTTTTTTATTTATATTATGTTTTATGTTTAACATTCTTTTTTTGATTAAGTTCTCTGTTTAGACCCCAGCAGCCTGAATGCGAGAAATTTTCATAGAAAATGGCTATACGGAACCACATATGCTTATTCACTAAATTTGCCATACCATGTCATTAATATATATATATATATATATATATATATATATATATATATATATATATATATATATATATATATATTTTGGTTTGACATTTTTCCTTCTTATATTGTTTGTTAGAATGGCGTTACGAGTCCAGAAGAAAACTTTACGGCAAAGTCGCCCGAGCATTGGAAAACACATTTGAAAAGCTGTTTTTGTAAAAGTATTTTTGATCTCTTTGAGTTGTCGTTCTGTGATAGAATCCATTCTTGCTTTCTGACTACAGAGTTTTAAACATAGAGTGTTGTTTTTGGAACAGTAATTGTTATCGGTTGAGGAAACGACTATTTTTGTTCAATAGCCTGGATGAAAATGAGATTTAAGTCCGTCCTGAAAACGACAGTTTGGTTGTCAAGACTTCGTTGAAGAGAGTTATTGCGGCCGCTTCCTTTGAGTCCAAGCTGGGACCGGGTTTCAGATCGGGTGTCATGATCATCGGCAGTCGCGTTTAATTCCCCGGCATCGCATTTCCAAATCTCGGCTGAAGCATCTGCTACTGCTGGCTTTGCGTTTCCGTTTTCAACCCTTCCGATATTCAAATTACAGACTCCGATAAATTTTGGCGGTCAAGTCAAACGGCTCAAGTAGTTTATTTAAAAAAAATCATGTTATTTCAAAACAATTTATTGTAAGAGAAAAAAAAGTTCTGTCTCTTTTTTTTTTAATTTTCTATCTTTTACATTCAATTGATCTTTCACTCCTTGCCCAAGGAGCTTTGCAAGGTTCAGATTTATGTAAATGATTTTATTACATTTCTCTTTTCCTCTAAACTCTCGAGAGCCGAAATCTACTCAGAAATAAAAACTATTTTTTTAAGAAAGTAATCAATAATTAGCAACTAGCAAATTACTAACTGCATATGCATATTTTTGACAGTTTATGAGTGCTTGTATGTTTACACCAATCTAACACTTATTTTTTTTCTCTCTTTGTAGGTATCTGGCTATCTGTTATACATTACAGTTTAAAATATCAAGCAGTACATCTCGGATTATCATCGTGTCCACGTGGGTATTTGCCATGATGATTATGATCCCGTGGGCAGTTTTCTACACTCAAATACCATTCGGAAACTTACACGTTTGCTATCCGGCATGGCCAGACGCCGAAACAGAAAAGGCCTTCTTTCTCGGCGCTATATTCCTCTGCTGCTACACAATCCCTCTCCTTTTGATCATGCTCTGCTACATTCTAATTGGATTTCGTGTCTGGAACCGTGATTCACCAGGCCTGTGCGACAGATCGAAAACGATAATGAAATCCAAGATAAAAGTGGTCAAGATGTTAGTCCTGGTAGTTCTTCTCTTCGCTCTTTCCTGGTTGCCAATGTACATAATCCGTCTGCATAGCTATTTCTCTCCCAAGACGCGGGACATCAAATGGCTGAACGAGATTGTCATGCCGATTGTCCAATGGCTTGGTTTGGCCAACAGCGGTACCAACCCCATCATCTATTGCTTCTACAGTAACAAGTTCCAGAGAGGCTTCAAAGCCATGGTCATGTGCCAGAAAAGTATGTATTATCAGAGCCAGGATAGGCGAGGAATGACTACAAAGTACATGACGGTAGAATACGCGAGCGGTCAGGTGACCATGTCTTTAAAGCGAAAATCAACGAACAGTAAGAATTCCTTGTAAAAACAAAAATCTGATAGAATCAGTTATCACATTCAAATGTATTAATAGCATTGAATAGCAAGATTACTCATTATATATATTTGTTTTTGCAACGTGAACCATTACATACAACCACCGAAACGACACATATACACACGCACACACACACGCAGATATATATATATATATATATATATATATATATATATATATATAAAATATGTATAAAACGCACTTTGTGATTTTCGCGTTGAATATTTGGTGAATGTGCATGATTTGCTTCTTTTATGCATAGAAACAATTGGGTTTGCACCATTTTGTCTGGCTTCGTTGTTGCTGTGTAAAAAGTAGAACATGTCATTTTAACTTATGAGAAAAGGAAAAACGAAACATTTATAGAGACACTCTAAACACATTTTCCTCTCGCCAAGAACACTCTTTTCTACTTATCACAGACACAATTATTTATCATTATATGACAATGTTTTATTTTTTGAGTTTTTTGTTTTTTTTTATTAACGGAAAGGGAAGTTTTGAATGGGTATTGCAACCACAAACAAGATATATATGACACTCACATGAACACATACCGATATACACTCACCCCATATACATACATACATACATACACACACACACACATATATATATATATATATATATATATATATATATATATATATATATATATATATATATATATAGTGAAAAAAACAAATGTATTTCCTGAACGAGGACTGGTCTCAGTACATGTTGAAATAAATTCATCTTTCCCTGAAAATCTTAATATTCTAATATAGAGTGGAGAATTAACAGTTCGTTTTTTATGTTTTTTTCCGCATGATTTCCCTTATAGACATTGTAAGAGAGCGTTTCAGTTTTCCTAGAGATGATGCTATTCACTTCCTATTTATTATGCTAACACGATTTAATATATTTCTATTTTAGAACATAATTATTGCTTGACTTATACTTAATTCTCTATTTAGTTTCTTTTCTTCAGTTTTTATAGTTTGCTTGTGTTCCTTGCGAGTTCTACCTGCGATATGAAAGAATTTTTTTAAAACTAATTAGATTGCGCCATCAAATGAATTATAGCGAGGGGATGGCGCCAAACTTACTCTGGATTAAACAAGCACACCAGAGAAAAATTACAAAATAATCAAAAACAAATAAAAATAAGAAGATATATGCAACTTAAGTTGCAATTGTCTATAACCAAAGAACTGATCTGCACATTCTGTGATTGCAAAATAATATAGATTTTTTTTTGGCTCTGTTAATCTTGAGTATATTGGGTATTTTTGTGCTTCATACCAATATAAATAATCCGTTCTTTGTGTTGTGCATTTGTATCTATATATTTGGCGAATTAGACGCATACCGTATATACGCCTCTATAAACCCTGTATAGTACGCCCCATATTTTTTTTTCTTTTTTGCATGAATTTAAAGCCTCCAGAAAAAAATTACCTGTGTATAGTGCAACCGTTAACTAAAAATGCATGAGTTTTAAACTCTTCGAAAAATATCTGTATATATTTCGATCCCTATTTTTCGTTTAAATCATAATAAAATCTCGCACTCTACTCCAGTATATAAGGTATGCTATTTACGACTTTTTCCTTTAATTTGATTTAATTTGGATGTGAGGGTAAAATTTGCAAATATTAAAAACAAGATATGCACATTTTCCCCCCGAAACAAGTTTGTAAAAAAAAAAAAAAATGATAAATCTCTATTGTCATATACATATGACACTAGATTCTCTTCTAGGTGGTGTAATGGTTAGCACGCTAGTCTCATTATAACTGAGTAGTGAGTTCGAGCCTTACTGGGTCCCCAATACTTTCCGCCATGTGTCACATTTGAGCTACGCTTGGAAAATCTTTTTAGATATGGCAGTTTTTAAAGGCGGTGGGTGGAACTTGTAATTTTATAGAGATTTATTCACAAAATGTTATTTCTTTTATCGATTTTATACACATTTTGTAAAATACTTTAAAGTAAATAATTTTGCTACGTTTTTTATTGATTGATTGATTTGCTTTTTTTACGGTTTATCAACCATTTCTACGGTTATTTAAAGCCATATAAATATTTTGAGATCGCAAGTATTTTTAGATATAATTATGATGTTTACTATTAAAAGTACTACGAATTAACACATACCTGGAGTGAAAACAGGTAGATTCATATCTTTCCCAAGGATATTTGCGCGCAAGTGAATATAACGATGCTCACTGGATACTGGAACACGTTTCAATGATTTTCAATTTTCGAACCGTTATCCATTACACCACTCCACATATCCATGCTTACCCTAACTTGTATTTTCAAGCGGTCATCCATGTAGGTGCTGATCAGGCTCGACGTTGCTTAACTTTGATGATTGTACTAGAAGCGGTATTTTAACGTGATACAGCAATAAGGCTTTTTTTTGTATTATTACAGTTACTATTTGATAAGATTATCCCGTAAATTGAAAATTTATTCATTTCGAATGTTCGTCTTTTTCATTTCAATTTCTGTCTCTATAATTACAAATACTTTCTAATATCTTTAATTCAATATATCAATTACAGGTAAAACTGAAATTATGAGAATATTTCCTAGTACAGGAGATTTTTAAGCTTAGTGTTTTTTATTATATATATATATATATATATATATATATATATATATATATATATATATATATATAATTACAGTGTACAACATACGACACTCAGAGCAAACAATGGTATTATGATACTTTTGTGTTATTCTGAGTCAGTCATCCCGTAAATAATATTAAATTAAAATATTTTTCTATAACATTATTATAAAGAATATATTAAGACATATTTGTATCTAAATGGGAAGACGTTCAAAAAGAAGGATTATTTTGTGATGTCAACGAACAGTCGTTGCCATTTTGTGATGTCAACGAATACTAGTTGTTACTTTCGTAATTATCGCTGCAGTAGAGATTTTGTAAACGCAGATACAAGTATAGTAACGCCGTTGAACAATACTGGTGTCAGACACATTCGAATATCAAGTGCGCTAAAATTACTTGCTCAATAATAGTCGCTCGGAAAATAAACACCGAATAGTGATCCCAATAGAGCAATAGCATAGTGAATAGAGATAAGGGATAGTAAAGAAAAAGGGATCCTTATAGAAACAGAGGATAGAGTAGAAATGGTGATCAATTAGACGCCACGCTAATTTTCATTTATGAGTTTCCTTTATGGTCAGTGATCTATTATTTCAAATGGAATCACCTGTGTTTGCTCGCTAGTGGTTTCCAAATCCTGTATCGGCAACGACACTTTATTGCTATATAACAATTTTAATTATATTTTTTTATATATTCGACATGAAAGAATCACTCATCAGTATTTCGAATTTAATGAGTAAATCTCCCAAAATTGAGACTGAACCATTGAGTATAAGTTGAACTTTTGTGAGTAATTATATTTTAAATTTTGTAGAGGTTTGCTTATATTTTGATTTACACTCCACTCTGTTTATTATACATTTGTCCCTTTTTTCCATTTTAGGATTGAGTTTCAAGTTCCTAATAAAGTGTTCTCATTCAATTTCACTCCAAATAGACACGTGTCTCTTAGTGACATTAGCACTTTGTTAGAAGTGAATGAAGCAAATCGTCTTTATTACAATATTGTAGCAGATATTTACGGTGTCAATACGTTTTAATCAATGAAAGCATAATTAAAGTTATTTATTTCCTTGAGCTATTTCGTGCGTTATTAAAATACCAGTGAAACACAAGGAGTGTTGTATAACTTACCAGATGTAGGTCAGTTAGTTTACATACAATTATGTTTGGTACTGAACCTCTTATTATAATCTAATGATAGTGGTTATGAGACTAGGGTCAGTACTGTTGTGTTACGTAATGCAGTAATTGATTTGAATTTAAAGAAAATATTAAAATAAGATGTCTGGTTAATATTTTTTTCAACGCGAAAGATCGGGAGTATGTAACATAAACTGAAATTAAAAAAAAATTCAAAAGGAAATAAGAATATAAAAATATTCAATAGTTTAATTAAGCTGTAAAGATTTCATAGCAACGTTAACTTATTTTCGAAAAGGTCCGCGACATATCTCCATATTGTGTTATTTATCTTTCGTTTGGAGACACACATATATACACATGATACGCGTCATATTTATGTGCATATTAATAAATATGTATATATATATATATATATATATATATATATATATATATATATATATATATATATTAAAAAAAAACAGACAACTTTAAGGTTCCATTATAATAATTTATTATGCCAGAGCCCTTTTAAAGGAAAATGGATCACCAGATAGCACTTTCAAAAGTTTTTCTTCAACATATTAGCTCTGGATTGACATTGAACACTCGGGATTTCAACCTCCTTGGGACTACCCATTCGAATTAACAAGTTTTTCAAAACTCATATATATATATATATATATATATATATATATATATATATATATATATATATATATATATATAGAACACATATATAATCGTATATATATATATATATATATATATACATATATATATATATATATATAACTATTTTTAGATATGATTCGTTTTCTATATATCATTTTCTTTTTCTATATATTCTCACATATAATATAGATATATGAACATATAATGCTCATATATATATATATATATATATATATATATATATATATATATATATATATATATATATGTCACATACAATACTGTATAAATATATGTATATATATATATATATATATATATATATATATATGTTTTAGGTCATATATATATATATATATATATATATATATATATATATATATATATATATTGTGTCATATATATGTGTGTGTGTATTTGTGTAAAAGTAATTTAGAATCTTCTAATAGAAAGTGTTTCCTATGTTCTTTATTTTGAATCATTTTTTTTCCTACCAAATCAAACGTGACATTGCACTGGTAAAATATTAGGCATATTTCTTTTCAATTTACTTTTT